CATTTTCTCTTCTCATCTAAATAAACGAAAAAAAGTGTAAAAGAAGAGCTCTAAAAAAACAAGTTGAGTTTACGAGCCGGGCCCGGGCCACTCTTTGTCGAACATTTCCCTCTTTTTGACGGCAACAAGGAACTACTTGTTGCATCATGGTCCATTCTTTCACTTCCAGTGAAAACGACGAGACTTTATTTTCTCTAATAAGTCTATTAGGGAGTAATTTTTTTAAAATTTCATTATATTAACATGTAAAGTAATATTGTAACTTTGATTTAATTGATACTTTCTCTGTTTAAAAAAAAAATTGATACTTTCTGTTTGAGTGTATCCCACATCGAAAGTTCAAGAGTAAAATAACCGGTATATAAGCTCTTGAGTTGGACTAACTAATCGATTGGATTCAATCTTTTAATACGGTTCAGCCCAAGTGTCTTATAGACTAATCCAGTTATCCATACCCCATCCTAAATTCTATCATGGTATCAGAGAAGGTTTTAGCCCACCTCGTTTGTCAAGGTGTCCGTCTAGACGTTCATTCCTAGCAGCCCGTTAGTCTTTAGCCCAGTTGATCGTATGGAGTATGTACCCAATGTGGCCCGTTTAACACGATTGCTCGTCTGGAAGTCCATACCCAGCGGCTCGTGGTCCTTTAGGTGTTGGCGCTCAAAAAAAAAATCAAGGGAATGGGAGTTCATTTGCAAGTGGTCAACCGGTTAGATTCAAAATGGTCCGATTGTCCACTTGAGGGGGAGTGTTAGAGTGTATCCCACATCGGAAGTTCAAGAGTAAAATAACCGGTATATAAACTCTTGAGTTGGACTAACTAATCGATTGGATTCAATCTTTTAATACGGTTCAGCCCAAGTGTCTTATAGACTAATCCAGTTATCCATACCCCATCCTAAATTCTACCACTTTCTCTGTATGGATTTGTAAATTATATCCTACATCTGACTGTACGACTCTTGTCATATAGTCGGCAAAAATTAGTAGTAGCACCAGCGATCGAAAGAGGAAGAGACGGAAGCAAGAAGAGACGGTAACTGAAGCATGGCATCCGGTTATTGGAAGAGGAAGAAGGGGAGGCCGACGCAGAACCCGACCTGGTGAATGTGGTGGCTGTTGCAAGAGAAAACCCTACCTGCTGCGTCGATGGTCGATATTTGCGGCACATGCGAGCTAACTACACTGCAGGGCCGGTCCTGAGGATTCATTGGCCTGGGCCGAAATAGAAAAAACTCAAAAAAGGCCCTAAAAGCTAACAAATTAACATTGTAAACTAGTTATAATTAAATTATAATTAACGCAATATTATTAGAAGAAAAAAATAAATGACAAAATTATAGTATTATAATTACATACTGTAAAAGCTAGCCGAGGATTCGAGAAGTTCTCCTTGCATTCTTGAGAGCAAATTGGTTAATTGATAACATCTTCATAGTCTATGCTCTCTAAGATTTCATTCTCGATAGCTATTACTGCCAATCCGCTAAGTCCTTCCCACCTTCTTGGATCAAATCTATCTATTATTTAAAAAGCCATGAATTCTTATTTTTCTTTTCCCGCCTATTTGGTGTTCTAGAAAAAATGGTAATTGTTCACTCCATATGGTAATTACTAAATGGTAATTAAACGGATCATTAATGGAGTTACCGTAATTGAGTAATTACTCAATTAATATTACCGCGAATATAATATTAGTGCAATTATGCTCAACATATAACCGTGTAATTTAATATAACCGTGTATAAAAAAGGTATAAAAACGTGTATAAAAAGGTAATGAATGCTCAACTAAAAATGGTAATTTAATATAACCGTGTAATTAAAATGGTAACGATTGGTAATTTAATATAAACGTATATAAAAAAGGTAACGAATAGAAATTTAATTTAATTTAGTTACCGTAATTGTGTAATTACTCAATTAAAATGGTAAGTAATTTAAAGTAGTAATAAAATAATAAAATATTCAAACATAATTACACTTACCGTTAATAAATCAATCCTTTTTAAACTAGTTTATACGAATGGTAATAAAAGGTAACAAAAAACGTATATAAAAAAAGGTCAGTAAAAAATATTTTTGGAGTTTATACTGGCACTTTGAACATAACATGTAAAAACTTTGGAAATAAATTATGCGAATGGTAAATTAATTATATGAATGGTAATAGAAGGTAATTAAAAACGTATATAAAAAAAGTAACTAAAAAATATGTTTGAAGTTTATACTGGCACTTTGAACATAACCTGTAAAAACTTGGAAATAAACTATTAAAAACGTGTATAAAACAGGTAACGAATGGTAATTTAATATAACCGTGTATTATGCGAATGGTAATTTAATTTAATATAACCGTGTATTTTAATTTGTAATTAAAAATAGGAAAATACGTATAGAGTTATGTACATTTTTAAATTGTATACCAAAATGGTAATAAAAAAGGAACATCGAAATTCATAAATTCATGTAGTATAAATACGCTACCTTACCAGGCCAGAAAAGTAAACGAGTGTTCAGGAAACGAGAGTTTTAAAGAGTTTTAATTAATCGGTGCTCCACCATCGTTTTTGTATGAACATGGGAATGATTACCGCCCTAAAAAATGTTCATGAAAATTCCGGATTGTTGATGATGAAGCTAAGGGCGATTAGAGTTTACCACGTTCCTGCTCATTCTCGAGGGCCGGAATCATTGGATATTGTTTTCCACGACTCAGAGGTTAGTTCTACATTGTTTTATATTTTACATATAATAAATCTTTAAACAAAAAATATAAATTTAATTAGTTCTGATAAAGTTGAGAACTCGGATTGCAGTTCATGTTTTTTTAGTGACCTACACTCTCCCGAATTCTTAAATAAGATTCGTGCTTCATGTGTACCGAATCATGAATTAACTCTGAAGGTAGGCACGCCTATTATGTTGTTGAGAAATATTGACCATTCAATGAGTTTATGTAATGGTACACGGTTGATAGTAACCCGGTTGGCTAATCACTCAATACAAGAAAAAATATTATCAGGAAGCCACATGGGTGAAGAAGTTGTTATTCCAAGACTATCATTAACACTGTCCGATACAAGAATTCCTTTCAAATTTCAAAGAAGACAATTTCTTGTGGTTACTTCGTACGCAATGACGATTAACAAGAGCCAGGGACAATCTCTGAAACATGTTGGACTACTGTTGCGGAAACCTGTGTTTAGTCATGGACAGCTCTATGTTGCAGTTTCAAGAGTAACTAATCATAGTGGATTGAAGATTCTGATATGCAATGAAGACAATACTCCCACGAAGACTACAAATAATGTAGTCTATAAAGAAATCTTTCGAAATTTGTAAAACATTGATGTTCTGTACCTTAAAATAGTATAATCTCTATATTCTATTGCATCTCATTTTTTATCATTAAAAAATGATCTGAATTTAATAACATAAAAATGACCCGTGCAACGCACAGGTGTGATACTAGTATATCAACAAAAGTGTGCACAACACTAACCATAGGCTCAAGATGTTCTTTTGCCTCTTCTAAATTTTCTTCCTCTTCTTTATATGTTCATCCTCTTCGATCAACATGTTCTTGCTCTATTTGTAGATGGTCTTGCTCTTCTATATCTTTTACTTCTACTTCTTTGTTTTCAACAACAGGTTTCATAAACTTATATAGAGCTCCAGCTTGAGACTTTCTCATTTATTCATCTCGTTTTCTCTTTTTTCTATTTTGACTACCAGATAAATGTTTAGGAGCCATAGCTATTTAATTATTTCTGAAATAAAATCCAAATTCATAAATTCTAATACTTAGTAAAATCAAATATGGAAAAGCAATCAAATAAATCAATATATCATAAATTCATATCAATTCGTCAATTTTTTTTCTTTTTCAGTATTAATTTTTCATATACATCATAAATACTGTATGTGTTAAAATCCCAAGTGAATTACTCCGTATTAATTTACGAAATTTGGGTATAAGAATTTTCGCAAATTGCTCTCCTAAATCTCGTGGGATTATTAGACGCGAATCTTAGGAAAGAGACGCGACCACATCTTTTCCTTCCTTCCGCGGCTATTAGAATCCGACAAAGTTTGGTCGAGAAACAGAGAGTTCGTAAGTTCATCTTAATTTCATACTTGTTCTTGTCAACAATTTAAATTTTATTCGATTGATTTTTGGATTGAACACCCAAAATAATCAATCTTAAAGTACTATCACGACTCTCAAATTCATCCGTGTTATCTTATATTTCCCCAACTTAAAGGGGTTACTTTAAATTATTTTTGAGTTTGAGACTCCTTTTTCGTAAGTATCACTAGTATTGACACTAAAAAGATACTAATCCTAGTTAGAATATGACCAAATGAGTAGGGGCAAGCAATGTATACTAATTGTAGATCCAAGCTAGAGGTCAGTGTTCCCTGTGGTGGGCTGCAATAAAGTGGATCGAGTAGAATAAGAAGTTTACCCTCCAACGTTTTAAATTTTTAGTGGGTGGGCGTTGCGCAGTTGGTAAGATAAAAAGTTGTCAGGGATAATATCGAATTTGATTTCTGACAACGACGCTAGGAGACAGTTATGATAAGCTTAAGAATTCTTCAATTGCCAATGTAGACTCTTCTATTTACCATATTAAAATTTAATATATGTTCTTTGAGAGGATGTGTTCATTTTTTACTCCCTCCGTCCCACTGTGTTTGTCTACTTACCTTTTGGCACACAATCCAATGCACTTCTTTAATCCATTTTATCTTGTAATTTGTATATTAAAAAATTATACAAATTATATATTAATAATCTATATGTTAAGACGAATCAAATAAGATAACACATGACTATTTTTAGGCTTACACATTAAGAGAATTTGATGAGTCAAAGTGCTTAGATGAACAGTTCCAAAAGTTAAATGTGGACAAAGACAATGGGACGAAGGTAGTATTTTTTTTAAACTAATTCTCTTCTATTATAAGCTACAAGACAAAAAAACATTAAATGGCCAGGCGAAGTAGTGTTTCTTTTTGTATAAAACCGCTGCACCACTTGGGTCTAGCATCCACCATATATCTTCTTTCATCTAAATAGACTAAGTTAAATTAGTCACTGGATTCTTCTAATTTAATCATATCATTATAAAATTTAGCATATAACATGCGTCTCTTGGCAGAAGAAGCTCCCGAGGAATACAAACCTGCTGGTTTCCGGCACGCTCCGGCACCACCATCCGCCGCGACAGGGGCGGCGCCGCCAGACTGCGTCCCGCGCAGCCGCTGCCCGTGGTGGCCGTACTCCAGCTCCAAGGATTACGAGACCAACGCCGCTTACATCCTGGTGGTTCTCGTCTTCGCGCTCGTCTGCGCCCTCTCTTGCACCGCCGCCGTGCGGTGTGTGCTGCGCCGCCGCGGCCGGGGGGACAAAGCGGCCGCGGCGGGGGAGGGGGACCCGGGATCCGAGGCTCCCACGGCGATATTCTCGGCGGAGGGAGGCGGCCGGGAAGAAGAGTGCACGATCTGCCTGGCGGAATTTGCGGAGGGAGAGCGGGTGAGGGTGCTGGGGAAATGCAAGCACTGCTTCCATGTCCCCTGCATCCAAAAATGGCTCAGAAACCATTCTTCTTGTCCAACTTGCAGAGCATCTTATCCATGATGGAGTTTTTGCAGCCACATGAATTGGGTTGGGAGAAAATGACAGTTCGTACTGTTTTTTATAGGCGCAGAGGCCCTGTTTTTATGATTATAATATGAGTGATATGATTGTGATCAGGTGTTTGTTTTACTAGCACTTTTTACAGTTAAGTCTTGGTTCTTTTGGGATAGAATAGAGTATAGGGAGCAATAGGCGAGAGTTAATTCTTGCCACTTTTTTGAAGGCAAAATAGCTAGCATTTCTTTAGAAAATAAACACCAATATTTCTCTATTTTTAAAATTTATTTCAAATCTTTTTGTGGTTTCAAAACGTTAAATTCATACTCCTCTCAACATTTTCCAATAAAGGGACATTGGTGCTCCAAATCATATGAGGCACTAGTACTCATTTTTTATTTTTTATTTATTTTTTGTTTTTCTCACTTTTTCCTTTATTTGTATTTTTAATCAAGGTTTTATAATTTTTTTTAAAAAATAAAAAATACGTCTAAAATTTGTAGTTTTATTTTTTTTCTGAAATAAAAAAGTAAGAATTTTTTTGAGACTTCTAAAATTTAGAAATAAAATAAAAAAATGAATATTTTTTTTGGAGGTCTCAATTCAAGGAATTTTTTAGCGTGCTGAAAACTCCTTTTTATAAAAGATTTCTTTTGCATGTTTCAATATTTTTCATTTTGTTGTTCCATATTTTTGTTTTTATTTTTTATTCTGGATTTTCTTTATGAACTTACCAAAAAAATTATTCTAAAAAACAAAAAGTGAAAATGTTTCGTATGGAGAATATGTTAAGTTTTTTATTTTTATTTCAAACACTAACAATTTTGAATTTTAAAGTAATACTTAAAAATAAAAATAAATTTAAAAAACTTTTCAAGGAAAAGAGAACAAATAGATTATAAAGGAAAAAGTAAATAATAAACGAAAAAAATGAAATAAGCACAAGTGCTCCATATGGTTTAGAAAATAGACACTAATGCCTCCTTTTTGCCGGAAAACGATTAGAGGGAGTGTGGGTGCAGCGTTTTGAAACCATTGAGACTTTAGCAATAAATTTTAAAAACATAAGGGGTATTGATACCAATTTTCCAAACTACAAGAGGCGTTGGAGCTATTTTGCCATTTTTTGAATAACAACTTTGCGACTATTGTCTACTTGGTTTGAAACTATTTTTAAGAGTTCAAAATTTAATATATATATATATATATATATATATATATATGTATGTATGTATGTATGTATATATATATGTATATGTATATATAATTGGTCCTTTAAAATTAAAATAGGGGCTTTCATATTTAGTTCTTTATTTTCAAAAATTATGTTCATTGTTCTTCATTTAGGATACCTTTCAATGTATAGTTCTTTTTTAACCCTTCTCTCATGTTGATGTTAAATTGAGAATAAAAAGTATATTTTCACATTGAACCTATATTCTTATTGTTATAACCAATGTCGGAATGAGGTTGCTGCTAATGTGTTGTTTGACCACTGAAGTCTTTGCTCATGCAACCTTAGTCCATAATCCATAATTATTATCACTAGCCGGAATCCAAATCTGCAATCATTATTATTATATTGTCTAACAAGATGACACTAGATGATGTTAGTTCCTTGGTTTCCCTCATGTATTGTTTAGTTGACTTGTTGTAACTCTAGGTTGGTTTATTTTTTGACAAACAAATAGAGTTAGAAGTTGTCTTGTCTAGTCATTTTATGTTTTAAATAAAGCTGTAGTGTCCTTCCAACGTCACGTGGCTGCAAACTGTGCTATGTCACTTTCTATGTTACCTTAAGTTGTGGCTAATTCGAATTGCGTAAAGAGTCAGAGACGCGATGGAGTCAAAGTTGCATTTCTTAAAAAGTCTATCTGGCATTTTTCAGTTCAAGCGTGCGGCGATATTCCAAAAGGAGTCCTAAAGTGTTTTGAAAAGTTTTCATGAAGATCTTTTTTCTTTGGTATTTGGGCACAATTTAGGTCATGTTCTCTTCAACTTATTCTTATTACTTATTACTTTTTTTTATTAAAATCAGATCATACCAGATCAGACTTGATTAGATCACTAACAGCTTTAAATATAACTACATCCATATCAGACCAGAACTTATTTCAATCAGATCAGAACCATTAAGATTAGGTGAAGAGAATAAGAAGCTTCCAAAATATTGTTTCGCTATTCTTAAGGAGCAAAAATCGAATGGATCAAGGATTTCTAATTGGTGCTATAACATCTATGTAGCATACCTGCTTGTGTTGTTTGTGTTTTATGCTCAACAAATCCATTTGTTTGGTGTGTTGGTCATTCCCTATGAAATTTCAATTGGTATCAAAGTAGTTGAGCTTATCTTGTTAGCTCAAATCGATATTAATCATGAGACATATGGGAAAGGGTGCCATCATTCAACGTCCACCATTGCTTCGTGGGCAAAACTACAACTTCTAAAAAGGATGCATTAACAACCATCTGACCATAACTTCTAACAGAGGGAAGGGATGCAAAGTTCCTTACGTCTACACCTCCATTATAGAACATAAGCTTGTAAAGGCAAGACCAATGTAGATTCTCAGATGATTAAAGATTACAATGATTACACGCATCGACAGAAGCATTGCCAACATCACTATGATAATATTATGTGCTTCTACTGTAAAAGATGGAGTCACATCAAGAGACACTGCAAAAAGCAGAAACTCAAGAAATCAACAAGAAGGTTTGAGGGAAAGAAAGTGAAAAAAATGAACATTGTTTGGATCCCCAAACATCATGCTACTATTGCTAATACATGTCACCATGTCACACCTGACCGGTGGCTTCTGGACAGTGGCTGCTCTCATCACATGACAGGGATAAACAGAATCTAACAAATAACCAACCTATGGAAGGAGGTAATGTAACACCCTAATCCATCCCGGTCTACAGCCCTTTCGGACTTAAATATTAACTTGGTAATCGTAAAAATTTAAACATTTCTAAACACTTTTATTCATCATAAGAATAATATTCATAATAGTAACAATATGGAGTTTTCAATCTTGAAGAAGCTTAACAAATCACAAAATATAATTAGTTTATGTCCTTTAATTCAAAACCATCACATCCATTCCGATAATCTCACCTCTGTCTGCCTCCAGGATCACGTCACATCATTATTTCTATTTACCGGCGTGTAGAAATAAACATACTACACGCTCAGTGTTAAAGCTGAGTAAGCATACCTTATTCATCGAACATCCACATAAATTGAATCTCAAATCATAATCAAATCATTTGATATCATCCACATAATATTCAATTCAGGAATTCATCATTCATGATATTCACAATACTTTTTAATTCAAGTCATTTCATGATATATACAATATTCACTATTCAGTATTTCAACAGTGCTCTTAAATTGTTCTTAATCTAGGGCCAAATTATTTTGATAACAAGCTCTTAAACTATTCTCAGTCTAAGGCACTAATTTTAACCAACTCTTAAACTATTTCTAGTTTAAGGTATTTCTAACCAACTGTTAAACTAGTCTAGTTTAAGGTACAATTTTTTTAAAAAGGTTTTCTAACTCTTAAACTAGCCTTAGCTTAAGGTACACAATGAACCGAATAGTGGACTACGCACCGCCGGGTTGGGTGGTACCCCCAAACGAGTAGGTACTCAAGTTTGGTTTGTGGATCCCGTACGTACATTTTAACCTTGGCCACCGGACATCATACCCGCAAGGCCTAATTAACTAAATGAGTATATCTTAGAGTCTTCTAGATACCCTTAAAATCAATTTCAATTAACTAAATTGGTCATTTGGGTATATCTTAGAGTTCTTCTAGATATCCTTAACAAACATATCATTTTCATAATCATCAACACATTCATTTGTAAACATAGTTCAATCATTCATAATCATCAATATATTCTTCTTTAATCAAATATTCATAATTGTCATTTTAATCAAAATATTCATCAAAGTTTAATCATAATAATCAATCAATAATATTCATCATAGTCATCAATCAATAATAATCATCATAATATCCAATAACAAATAGCGGCCTAGCGTCGAGTGTTAACACCCTAGCTTACCGTCATGCCTCAAACAAGGTTCTTGAGTTTATAAAAACATCATATTGATTTCCAGCAATCATTTTGATGTTGATCATAATTGAATGATATCAAAAATAGGATTTAATATTTCAAAAAATAATGTTTCTAGAAAAATTTCAGGTCAGACGGTACCCTTCACGGTAACACGGTACTGCCGCACGGTACCTTGGTACTGCCCAGACGGTACGGGGTACCGTTTTGCATCATGTACCGCTAGAGAAGATTATTTTCAGTGGTGGAGACGGTAGCTAGCCTACCGTTCCGACGGTATGGCCTACCGTGCCAATAGTACTAGGGTACCGTCTAGACGGTAGTTGGCTACCATTCTGCGCGTAGTCTCTGAATAGTGTGATCTTCCACCTCGGGCCAATTTTTGAAATTGTCATTTTTAGTCACCAAACTTCAATTAAACTATATAGAAATGTTCTTCAAGGTTCATAGTTCATTTTGGTAAGATTAGTTCGTAGTTTTACCAACAATTTCAAGGTTTATGATTCTTGGCTCTTGTTGTGATATTTTATTTACTCGCAAGTGCACGAACCGTACGAAAGTATAGCAACGCAAATACGACTTGATAATGTGAAGAATTTTATTCTAGATTCAATTGAATATTTCTAATCTAGTTGGACAAAGTTTAATATTTTAAAAAAAAACTAAATATGGAAGTGACTAATTTTTAAAAAAACTTAAATTAAACAAAACTAAAGATTTTACTAACTACGAAAATATGTTTTCAAATATGAGAAAGAACTAGGACTTGGAATCCACTTATATATTCAAATGTAATTTTTACTCAATCATTATTTTTTTCCAAACTCAATACGCATGATAATCTCGCAACCAAGTCTCGTTATCATGGAGGATATATCAATTAAGCTCTTAAAAAAACAATTTCTATAGTTTGCTATTTTTCAAAGTTTCAAGAATAATTCAAATCATTAACTGTATCTCATCAAGAAATCACAACTAATATCTGCTCTTTTAACTTGTCAAACAATTATCAGGATTATTCAAAGCATGAGAAAAACATGATTGAACTCATCTAAAAATTAACCCTAACAATCAATTGGAAAAATAGACAATAAACATTTAAGATCAATATGGAAAAATAAATCATGAGTAAAAATCAAATAGAATATATAAGTTTCATCCTTGCCCTAGCAATGGAGTTTTAAGCTATCATAGTGCAAAAATCATCACAATAAAAATTAAAGTTTGACATATTAAAGAGAAGAAAAGAGGAATTGAACTCTAAAATTGGAAGATGTGGAGCCGTCCAGGTCGACGACGATGCAGGATGGAGGTCGCCACTGCACTGCCGCTGCTCCCTGTTCTTTCGCCTCTTTTTTCCGTTTTTTTCCTCCGTTTCAGCAGCCCTCCTCCTCCTTTTATATCCCCTTTTTTGTTTCTTTAGGTTTTTATTGAGAATTGAGATAGGATTTGTATACCAATTGGATCTTGACTTGCACTTGGACTTTAAATCTTCAATCCATTAAAGCTTGGCCCAATTCTCCATCTCTTGAATTTAACATCTTTTTTTTATTCCAAAAAGTATATCTGAAAATACATATAAGAGAAATTAATTTCAACACGAAATATAATAAAAACTTTACCCAACTTATGATTTTAGTGTAAAAATATAACAAGTAGCCTAAAGAGCCAAATATTTCATTATACACTTTATTTTCACATAAAATGCATTAAAAATATAATAAAGAACTAAAGTATGACCAAATAAAATGTGACAATTTGTAACGTATCAGCTCTTCTAACATGTCAAACACAAAACTCAAACCAAATGACTGTTTATGAACGTAAAAACGGTCTATACGAATATTCTAGTCACTAAATATATTTACAAGCTTACCTCGAGCTTAAATGCAAGTGAATCTTCTTAGCGTTAGCCAAATTTGTGATCAAGGTCTTGAAGCAACCTTCAATCAACAAAAATGTCGGGTCAAGTGCAGAAACGATCTGATTGTCTTAGAAGGTGACATAAAGTCACTCCCAACATTCTCTGCACTCTGCGAGCATAAGAGATGCAAAGTTATGACATTATGGACTTGGATACATGAATTATAAAGATTCGACTACCTTATAGAATTCTCGACCTATTCATGATCTCCCCAAAATGAAAAAGCCTAAAAGAGAAGTGTGCGGCCCTTGCGAACTTGGTAAACAGGTTCAAACAAGACATCTGGCGAAACCTGTCCGGTTTACAAAACATCGTTTTGAGTTGATGCATATTGATATCTTTCGACCCATGAAAACTGAAATCCTTGGGGGGAAACATTTTGTTTTAGTGGTAGTCGATGACTATACAAGATACACTTTGGTAACTTTCTTAAAGCACAAAGATGATGTTCTTGATGCCTTTTCAACTCTTTGCAACAAAGTTGAGAATGAGAAACATCTCAAAATTAAGAAAGTGTAACGCCCCGAAACTTGACCTATCAAGATTAATTAATTAAAAATAATTAATTGATTATTGAGAAGGACTCGTTAGAATTTTTAAATATTCTTTGTTTGATAAAAAGGTTTATATTGTTGCGTAGGGTTCCATGGAATGAATCCAACGGTGCAAGCGGATTTAGATTTGGAGCTCGTGGGCCCATAAAGTACGTTTCGGCTTAGGTACATCTATTAATTACGAGCCCAAAACCCCAAATATATATAGTACTTTACACGCCCAAAATCCCACCTCCATACTCCCCACACTCACGTAATCTCTCGACTCTCTCTCTCGTCCTCTTTGTCGATCGAAGAACAGTAGAAGAACAGAACCGAAGGAACGGAATAACAGCGAGAAGGAAAGAAGAAGAAAGCCGCGCCGCGTGACACCCTGTTCATTAGTCTCATCTTTAGAGTATCTATTCATCAAATTTGAGGTGAGTACGTGGACATCTAATTGAGCAATTGTTTCATTATCCAACTTTATAGTTTAATTCGTTTCCATTCTGGATGGAGTGGCATTTCACTCCCCGCTTTATTCTGAAATACAATACTCTCATGGTCACGCCCAGATTCTTGATCAACAACAATCATACTATTGAAGAACTCGTCATGGACACCATCAAATAGAGAAATGTAAGGTTCAACGACTGAATGCAAACTCAAAAATTCTTCTTCGACTTCTTGCCGAGCGATGTGTAATGGGCGTGCGAATGAGGAACTGAAGGGGCATCTGAAATAGTTAAATTCGGGCCGGGTCTGAAAAAAGAAGGGAAAACCATTAAACGGTTATTTAACGTGATAAGATCACTTCGACCTTAGCTCTTTGAAGTCTTGGGGTAGTTTGGAAATATCAGTTGGCGATTCTCCGTGTTTTTGAGTGGGGTAGATAAAAGGTAGTCTCATAATATATAACCATTTTTGGATATTTTTTATAAGAGAAACCTTTTCTTAGGGTACTTTTATAAAGCCCTCGGGAATGATAGATAAAGTAGTATTGAGAGTAAAAAGTTAAAAACTGTTTCTGAGAAGGATTTGTGAAAAAAATGATGTGGCATGCTAAGTGGGCTTGCATGTGGGGAAAGCGTCTCTCGGTGTTGCAGACAGTGTAAGTGTTTATAATAAAATGTCAAAAAAGGGAGTTACCAAATTTTATTTAGGAGAAGGAGATATATTATAAAATGCATACCAAATTTGTAGAAGCTAGAAAGGAAAATATTAAAAATATTTTGAGACCTATAATAAAAATAAGGAAGAATTATATAAAGAATATTTCCAATTTTACCTGGTCATTCAAAAATAATATCACATTTTACTGTGATGCATAATAATCCCAATTTTACTAGAATTTTACAAGTTTTAGGTCACCGTTAAGCGGCTAACGACTAATTAACGGAAATGACCTATTTTTCACAACAAAATAAAAGTTGCAATTCTTTTTTATGAATTATTCTTTTAATTTTATTTTTAAATTTTTACTTAAAATTAATATTAGTCTTACCTCATAAAAATAGATGAAAAAATAAGAAAAATGAGAAAAAAACTTAAACCATACAAAATTAGTGAAATAAAACAGTAATCAATAAAAACCTCAAACTAGTAAGAAATAAAAATAAAACTACATAGAGTGGTGGACTTTAAAAATGCACTGTGCATATCAAAGTACTGATGTATTATTTCTTCCTATTGGTAAAATTTGAAAATAACAACATATATATATATATATATATATATATATAGGAATTAGTTCTGGTGAGAAAGAGATCTTATGAAAGAAATAAGAATGATTGTGAGCCTTTGGATGGAGGCCTTCTGATCGGCATCACAAAGGGGCATATGCGTATTTTCTTATTTTTCCAAATTAAGCTCCACAAAATCAGCGCAGGAAATCACATCTCTCTCTCCATTATGGATTCTTATTGCCGTACATAATCCCCAAACCAAGATCTCCATTTCCTTTTAGATCTGTGATCCATTATTTCACAGCTTCAATTCTTCACTGGAATATTCTCGATGGAAGTGACTGAGCAGGCGGCATAGCAAAAACCACATCGTTCCGCCGAAAACAAGCAACCCTTTGTATCGGACAGCGGCGACGGTAATCGAGAGACTTCTCTGTTTGTCTTCCACGCCTACATGAGTACTACATGTTTAACTCTTTCATCAAACTTCTTTCTTCTTCTTTATTTGGTTTTACCATTTTAATTTAATTAATAAAATCAAAATTTTTAATAAGTTTTGCCTTGTTGTGTGTATGCTCAACAAATTCCTTATGTTGCCACCGTTTCTAGAGTCCTTTTGTAGATGGATTTTATTTGCTTTAAATGAGAGTTCATGCGGACCAATTTTATATTGTAAATACTTTCTACTTCATATTACTTTTCAAAGAGGAGCAACTTAATATGATTGGTATTTGGTAATTTTTATCCCATGTGATTTGTTCTTGCTAATTAAAAGGGAAAAAAAAATTTGTATTGGTATTTTTTTCTATTATATTTGCATATGTAATACATTGTGTTGTCTTTTCTTTTATATGCATCTTTATGTATGATAGAGACCACATTCCTATCCTTTTGTGAAGCATTTATGCGAGTAGCTTATGTTAATTTTGCATTCTTGCTATCTTATGGTAATATGACATATCTTGGCCGTGATTATTATATTGTGATTACATACTTATCTTTTTTTACTATTAAGATCAGTATACTCCCATGTTGCATTCTATTCATTTGATGTTGCTTATTATTGTTCATATGTTGGAATTGTAATTTTTTGGTATTGTGCATTATATTATAGAATCACTATTATGCATTTACATGAAATGGTAATGCATTCTCATACTCAAGGTAAAAGATAATGCATTCTCTTAATCAAAGATGATGCATTGATGATAAAGTACTCATTGCACAAATATGATGCACATGTGTATTTTATATAATGAATTTTCTACAAATGATAATGCATTAAAAATGTTTTGTGACACATTTTGAATGTGTTAGAAAGACATTGAAGGATAAAAATTTTAAGAGATTAAAATGTGTTTTAATAAGTCCAAGTGAAAGGGGAGAGTCTCTTTGAAAAAACAAGTCGTTGCCTATTAGCTCAAATGGTAGAGCCGTATGTACTACAGATGTGAGTTCGAATCTCACATGGGCAAATTATTTTTTAATATTGTATTATACTTGTTCTAAATACAATGCATTTTTAAGCATTTTCATCACATAGAAAGTCACTTATGAGTCATCTTCTCCAATCTAACAATAAATTTAAAAATTATTTTCACTAAATCTAGAGGATAAATCATTGTGCATATACTGATCATCACAATGCATGCACAATTTACAAAATGTAGTGCATCTATATATGAGAATGATGCATACAACTAAAAAACTATCACACAAGAAAAACTTCTTTGATTCCCTCTAAATAACAAAAATCATTGTCAAGTGCACCACAATTACATGACTAATCATTAAATGTAAAAGAAAGTGATGAAAAATAAAAAATTGAGAATAATAGCATTTAAAAAAGAAGAAAAAAAATTGTAAACCACGTAATATTTGTTTTAAAAAATGTAAATAAATTAATCTCTTGCACCTAATAAAAATTAAAAGAATGATGTAAAATATAATATTTTCTAATAAAAATTCTACTCTATTAACCTAGAAATAAAAATGTCAAAGTCTGATTTAGATTAGAAATGTTTCAAAAAGTTGGAGATATATATAATTGTTTTGTAAAGTTGCAAGCACTACCAATGACATCTAAAACTAATACTCTAGGGACACTAATCGTACTTTTATACTTTCATTTGCAAATTAATAAATAATATAAAGTTAAAGAAATCACCCTGAATATGAGTAAAACATATAAAAAACTACTAAAATATGAGCTCCATGTTTTATTCCCAAAATAAGAGTTCGCACAATGGTAATTTGACACAGTATATGAACATTTCACAATATTTTTTGGTAATGTACAGGGTCATAATTGACACTCTAAATACATTTTAACTCCTATTTTGGGAATAAAAATATAGAACTCATATTTTGATATATTTTTAATATTTTACTTCTATTTTAGCCTTTTTTTCCCCATAATGTTAACCATGAATCAATACTGAATTGTTTATAAATTATCTAACAAATATGTTTGGCTTTCACTTCCATTAATAGTCATAGCCAAATATAAACTCTCTGAAATTATCTTCTTTGAAACTTCAACAATAATCCTTGATCAAATGATACTAATTTTTGACATGTTTGGGAACTTGAATTTGGATTTCAAATTTATATTTGGCTCCAATTTAATGTTTGGGATGCTTAAAATTTTAAATTTGATTTTAGACAATTTCTTCTAATTCATAACAAAGCTCAATTATAAATGTTAGGGGTGTAAACGAATATTAATTGGATCAGATGTGCCATTACCAAATCCGTATCCGTTTATTTTTGTCGGATATCGAATTCGGATACGGATCTTGACGGATATTGAAAATCAAAACTGTATCTACATCTATCGGATATCGCTCAGATCTCGGATATATCCGTATCCGTTTCCAATTTTTATAACCAAATTAAACAATACTTTAATTTTAAATTAGATTAAAGTCAAACTATTATTAAATCAACTATAGTTTGGGATGGGATAACTATTTTCTTTATTTTCACGATTTATGATATTCTACGATAACTTCATATGATAAAAAGATATACACAACACACATACACGTATTTTTATATGTCTGCACATATTTTTTATGTGTCTACACATTTATTTTGTATACAAAAATGTCTGATATTTTAAAATATCAATAGAGAAACAGAATATAAACATAAAAAATTAGGAAAAATTATGTATAACGAATCAGATATTCGGATAAATGATTAATTAAATGGATGCATATTCAGATCGAATTTTGAACGGATTGGATATACAATTACCAAATCCGTATCAGTTTTATTATCGGATATCCTTAATCGAATACAAATAATATCTGTTTAAAACGGATGCGAATATTTTCTCCTTAAACGGATTCGAATGCGGACGGTAATCGGAGTTTCGGCTATCCGTTTACAACCCTAATAAATGTATATACATTCTCTTGTCATTTAAATTCATGACTTCAAGTTTTGTAATTAAAATGAAAGAGTTGAAATGAAATGTTAGTTCTCAAACACTACCTTAGAGTATGTAGACTTTCTCTCTGACTGTGTTTGTGGATACTAAAATTGCACCGAAAGCTTTTTCACAACTCTTCAACGATTAACTTTGTATCTTTACACAATCTAAGTGTTTGATAAATATTCTTCAATAACATAATTGATACTGCTCCTTTCAATAACACAATGTTTGGTTTGACTATCATTAATAGTCATATCGAAACATAAATTCTAAGAAAATATCTTGTTTGAAACTTCAACGATAAAAAATGTTAATAAAAACGGTGGGGATTTAGTGACACTCACTTTTGGTGACACTAGCAGCGCCAGTGTCATTTTGGAACACTTCCGGTGCCCTGTTCATAAAATTGACGGTTCCTATCCCCCTAACCCACCCCCTAAACCCCCCACCCCACCCCCNGCCGTAAGCCCCCCGCCGTTTTCGGTGGTTTTATATTCAATTTGTTGATGTACTGCTGAAGTAAGTTTGAGGTGAATAAAGTTGTGCTTTTGTTCAAAAAAAAATGCTGCCTTAAGAAAGAATACCAAATAAAAAAAGCCAAGAGATTGTTACTCTACGCCTGCCAAAGTGAGAATTCTAATGCTTTGAGCAAGCATTTTTTTCCGTCATGGCAAAGCTGGATAACCCCAGCCTAGGCTAGGCTGCATAAACATTTGGAATATGAACCTCAAATGGCACTTCAGTAATAAGACTCTGACCTCAACATCCTACGAACAACTGCTTATAGGTCAATTATAGGTCAGCTAAAAAACAATGCCGTCAATCCGACATGATATATGCATAAAGAACATGCAGATGAATAAAGACTAACCAAGCTTATTTCACGGTCACAATTAAGAGCCAATAAAGTGTAAACATCTTTTTGACCTACGCTAACCCGCTATCTATCAAATTTACTACACATATAACACGAGTGGAGAGTTTTGCGTCAATTATTTCTTGGGTAGCAGCACTGCAACCTGAAAAGTGCAGTAAAATTGGGTGAGGATGTGAGATTATGGCTCATGTTTTCAAGTTAAAAACGGTTTAGGCTTTTCACAAGTACGACTGAGAACCAAAAAATCAAAAACCAAAACCAGACATGGTTCATGAGGCTATTGTAGTCTGTGATGCCCTGTAACAGGACTACACGGTGAAATTTAAAAATGACCTAACAAAACAAGATCTAATACCTCCTTTAGCTTGTCCAACTGATTGAAGTGGTAACCAAATGAAGTGCAGCACATACGTCATACAATATAAAAAAGGGAGCAAGATAAGCGTTTAGCTTATATTCTACAAACATAAATAAGATACCATTTGAACATAAACTTCTAGATGATGATAGAAAGTTGAATTTCAAATAGAGGCTTACAAAGAACGTTTTTTGGACATACCCAGATGGTCAATACAGAAAATATTTAACAGAAATAGGAAAAGAAGGCATTATAATCTATAGAAAATGTTTAACAAAATAGTACAGATATAGGACACCTGAAATCACCCCATAACAAACTAAAAGTATTAAACTGTATTGGCGTGTCGAGCCATATCCAATTTTCCTTCTATAAGTTCTTGTTTTGCTGGAGAATCAAAAGTTTTGCACATGTACAGGGTGATTTTTTAGCACCGTAAATATCAATAATTATATTTGAGCACAAGATAACCAGACATAAAAACCATGAAAATATCATTCACGTATGCAACAGGTAAATTGGAATGTCGTATACCCTCTCAAAACAAACAATGCATATAAAACAGACAATGGGCTTGGGTATTAAGTTTCATTGCAATTAGACCCAACACTTGAAGATCCACTACTAGTCAAACTGAAGCATGGAAATTAGGGAAACCAGTCATAGAAAGAGGGCATATACGATGAATAAAAATAATAAAAGGTCTCAATGATGGAAGGAAATAGTAAAGCCCGAATCAACCACTTTATCTGACATCAAGTACTTTATTGCAACAGATTTCCCTGCTATGAATCAGTGCTCAACAACAATCCATTCTATAGAAACAAATGCAGGCAGAGTGTCTTCTTATATGGTTACAGAGGTACGGAAAAGGCTTATGTATGCTTCGATTCATGTATTGATTCCAAAAAAATGTGATAGAATTAGGTCAGTGTGAGCATGAATCAAAAGAGTTAACCCAATACTCATGTTTGTGTCATTAGTATTTCATTACGAGACTCTTAACAAAGACCTAAAGTGAAAATATAATGGTCCACTAAAAATTAGAACTTGGGTTTCGTCTTGGTCGATAGAAAATTACTTGCATTTACTTTTCACAGATGTGAATATTACCAGATGAGACACCATCTCCACTTCTCCACTTGCGCCACAATAGCAGATCTCTTTGTTTAATTCCCCCTATGGTAATTGAAAAAAGAGTCATTGAAGCGAAAGATCAAGTGCTAAGTTTATCTGTTTGTATCATTTTAAGATGTTTTAACCATGGAAACCAATGGTCTTATAGTTTCATGTGGATAATATCGGTGTGTCTGTCAGGATGCTCAACCACAATGCCCCTAAAGAAGTGGATGTCCTAACTGAAAAAAGGAAAAAAAAAACTAGTGGATTCCAAAAATCTACTTAATAATGCATTAATAGGTATAAACATCCCATAGCCCTAAAAGATGTTTGTGTTTGCTTTTTCAAAAAGTTTGAGAAAAATAAAATTCCATGGTAGAACTTAGGGAGAAGAGCGAGAAATAATGTGAATCTTACAAAAATTAAACAGGCAAATACAGAGTAGGCAGTAGCATAGAATGAAAGTTGAAACAAACATTGAATAAGTTGGCCTTCTATTTTTCAATAAACACAAAATTCAAACAAATACCAAAAAATTTGACAAATTCCAATTAAGGCAGCATTCCGTGCAACTTATTTTTTCTACTTATTACTTATTCTTTTTATAATCAGATCAGATCAGAAACAGCTTTAGTTATAACTGCAACCAGATCAGATCATACTAAATCAGATCCAGACCAGATCTCCAAAAAATCAGATCAGGCAAACAGAACGCAACCAAATAGTTTACCACTGTAGAAGAGTATCATTTTTAAAAATGATTTATTTGGCAAATCAAACATCAACCAAAGGACCAACTAATTCAAGTAGAATTTATGAAGGTAGTATTATAGCAGGATTGTACTACTACTATACTATTATGTCCTAATGTTACTTCTTTAACATTTTCTTTGTCTTGTGCAATAACACTCTACTCTTTTTTTATGAATTAGGAAAACTAAGTCATGTGGAGTAAAAATGTATAATAATAATAATAATAATAATAATAACAATAATAATAAAAACAATAATAATAATAATAAGGGGCACCTAATCTAAATTGTATATTGATTTACGAAAAGAAGTTTGATATTGACCAGTTATTTGTGTTTTGCAGGTGGATTACATCAAAGAATTTATCACGTCTTACACGATGATTAAATATGAACTAACATGATACTTTAGTATTGCAACACCTACAGAATATATATTTTAAAGCCCAAACACCCCACCCAAAAAGCAATTGTGAATTGAAACTTTCTATTCAAAATGACACAAATCAGCTAAAACTAACATTCCAACCCAATGACATGTACTAAAATTCAATATTAAAAAAAGACTAGAATCAAAATAAGAATCAGAAAATAAAATCAATTTGCAACTATAAATAAAATGGAACAAGATTACCGTGGTTTGGCTATCCCTTGAATATGTGTTGATTGGCTGTGGTGTTGCACTACAGTGGTGAACATGCAGTGTTGGATGACGGAGATGCAGCAAAGATGCGATGGTGACAATTGATTGACAATTTAGTAGCAAGCTTTTCGGCAGGGTTAACAGCAGTTAGAGACGCTGAGGATAATCTTGGTGACCTGGTCGAAAGATGAAATGTACCACTCCCATAGCATAAGGTACAAATTTATTGGATGGAAAAAGTGCATTTTTGCAAAGGGTACCAAACCAGTGAAATTATAATTAAATTGTCAAATCAAACATACAACATCATGACATGAGGTCCAACTCAAAGAAAAGAATAAAGGTGAGAAGGGGAAAATAACATTGTTATGTATAGTAATTTGTTTTGTAAAAAAGTTAAATGTGTCCCTATAGAATGAATAAGTTAACATGCTCAGGAGCAATTTCAGTCAGTTGCGTCTCAGCATAGTGCTTAGCAACGCGTTATGCAGCTTGCAGTTCTTCCATCTTATGAGGATACTCAGGGACAGGCATATCACGTTTCTCCTGAGGATCGATTGTGAGTTTCTCCAACGCAGTCGAATTCCGAAAGATATACGCCAAAAGCTCAACCTCACTAGCACAACCATGATATCCATATACTAACACCTCTTTAAGATGTTCAAGTGGAGATTCTAAAGCCTCCTTCCATTCCCTTCTCGTCCTATCGGGTTTAAACCAGCTCAACTGCTCATGGAAAAGAATAGTTTTAAAATATGTGTGTGTGTCCATATATCAAATGACACATTATGGCAAAATGACATGCTGCAGTCAGATGACGTAAAGCACACCACAACCAACTACAAAGCTCACCCAGAGCAGCAACAAGGCTCATCAAACTATATGGCAAAGCTCACCTCTTTTTTTCAACACATTGTTTTTTACCATTTAAAAAAACCAAATGAGTGGACTTTGACCTATGTTGAGTGGATTTTGACCGCTACGCGCACGCCCGCGCGCGCACACACACACACAGATATATATATATATATATAATATGTATGTATGGTATGTATGTCCGATAAACTTTACCTCTAGGACAAAAGTTTGCAAGTTTGGAGAGGCCCTGAGCAGAGATGTCAACCCAATTAGACTAAAATCCTCTTGTGGTTCAGTATATATGAGTAACTCCTTGACCTTAGTTAGTTGAGGAAATTCTTGCATCTCCATTTTTTGCTGGTAAATGACAGCATGAGCAAAAAATCATACTCTAAGTAACAATTATTCAGACTAAGTGGGGTACAGAAGAATGGAGATATGGACTTACTATTAAACGGTGCGAAACAGCCAAATGAAGCATCTCTAATTGAGAGAAGGCGCAGCACGAAAGGCGAGATAAAACACTCTCAACAGGTTCAGTCATCCGAGGAAAATTTACACGAACAAGACTGGGTACATTATGAAGTTGCAAGTCTCCACATGTCTCGAATACAATCGAGACTATATTTGTATCCGACACCCTAACAAGTTCTAGCCTGTCACACCAGACTAATTCCAAGTGCTTCAACTTGAGATTCGGACCTGTCACTTGTAGATGTTCTAGATGATGCAAGTAATGCACTACCAATCGTTCAAGCAACTGACAATTTCCCACAAAGTAGGCGAGCACGTCATCATTGACATTGATACTCTTGAAGCACAACTCTTTCAGGCTTCTAAAACCACCGCCACTTAGGGTGAGTGGATTAGGAAAAACAGAGGTCTCGGGTTCGTTATGCAGATAGTACCTCGCGTCCAAGAAGCTGAAATCCAGTTTTTCCAAACGCTGCTGGGAGCACGCAAACTTAACCCAACCATCAATGTAACCCTGGTGGCATTTCCTTATATCAAAACGGACCTTGAACTCGGTTATAGATTCCTTGGCTTTGTGAAGTTTCAACACTCGGTTTACACAGTCAACATACTTGGTGGCTTCCCCGGGTATTAAGGCGAAATCTGATGGCAATTTCATGTAATCTCCCATAACATCAAAATCAAGAGTTGGTGTATGCATCCACATCTCTTTCCACCGACTTGACAATGCACTGGTACGCGCTGCTTCTTTACAGTTCATATACGATAGTATATGAACAAGTATGTCATCTGGTAATTCACTAATTCTATCCTTTTCCTCCTCCTCTCGACTACTCATCCGGTTTCTCTTCAAACACTGCATTCAACTCATTTTCATATGGCAAACGTTATTAGTTACAAACATAAACTGCATCCGTGATTCAATTTTTCATAATCCATCACAAAATAAATAAATAAATAAATAAATAAATATATATATATATATATACACACACGTTACTAAATAGGAACAGCAAAAAGACAAAAAAGACAGAAATAAAAAAACAAAAAGAGAGAGAGAGAGAGAGAGAGAGAGAGGCAAAGCCCTTAACAAACCTTCCTGGGTACAAACAAACCAGATCTGCTTGCGACCCTTTTCCTCATCGTCAAGGTCGAACAATTAAATCGATTGACCACCATTCATCTGTCAGTTTGGAGAAACAAAAATGGAATTGAAGCAAAAAAGGCCTCAACTTTTCTGATTTGTGATGATAATAGTAACAATAATAATTATGATAGCAAAAATTCAAAGGCCTGGAACAGCAAAAACTACATAAAGCTTCCAACTTTAAACAAAAGTTCATCCATTTATGCTTGCATCTATACTTTGCAAGCCCCAAGTCATCAAATACTATGCTATATTTCAATTTTGAATGAAGCTCAAGCGTCAAGATTTGAAATTTTCATCTTTCCGATTCAGGGGCTTGGTTAGGGTAGTAGGGATGGAGCTCCTTATTTTGGAAATTAAAAAATAAATACAATGGAAGAGAATACTTACTATATACAAAAGCAAAAGAATTAGAAAAAAAAAGAAATACTCCGTAAAAAATATGGTGTTTTCCCGCCCAAGAATGCAATGAAATCTGTCCGTTCATGTGATGTGAGTAATATCTGGCTGTTGGAATTTTATCAGTGTGAACTGCATTAATTGACTGCATTAATTGCATTTAGAACTCATGCTTTTTTAACGGGTAATGCTTGGTTCACAAACACAATGATCACAAACTATACAAACTTGCTATTTGTGAATTTTAACAAAAAAATTAAATAGTCTAAAATAATTTTAAAATGAGAATTTAAACCATAAATAGTAAATTTGTGAAATTTGTGAATATTTTGTTTGTGAACCTAGCATTGCTCTTTTTTAACCGTATGCTTTTTTTAGGAACGCCTACATTTATTAGCATTGGGAAGACACAGCGTCACTATTTCGGATGACCAAACACGTTAGTTTAAATTCTTTCAAAATTGATTTTCCAGAGATGAAATTATTCAATTTTTTGCATTTATTAATTATTCAAAGTTTGTACATATTTTTAAGGCAAGATTTTGGGCTTTAGAAAGGCAAATTTGAAATTTCAAATAACTTTAAGAACATGTTAGAGACCTGCAATGAAGAAGATTTTGAGAAACAATTTTGAGGTAAATGTTGAGTCCAAAATATTCACTAATTATTCTCTATCAAATCAGTATTTTCGAGCATTAAAAAGTGCATTTTTACACTTAAATGATCATATTTGCATTCTAGGCATTGTTTATAAAATATGTTCATAATGCACACTTTTCAATTTATTTTTGAATGTTATTGTTGTGGACCCAAATTCTCCTTGACAAAGGTTATTAGATATATCTTCTAGAAACCAAGTGTCACTTGATTAACCTAGGCTGCCTCGTTAAGTGGTTTTTGCTAATCAAGGTTCTCAAACTGATTTTGTTAAATAACCTTCGTGTTACTGCAAAATTGTTACGGTGATGTTTTCCACAAATCTTAATGCACTATTCTTAGTAGTAATCTAAGGGTTGTTCTTTGGGTTGCTAAGGGTAGTAGGGTTTAGAGTTAGGGTTGGTCCTAACATGAGCTTTTATGAATGGGAAAATAGGAAAGAACTGTTGGTGGACCTCTTTTTCAGCCGGACCCTTGTTTTAATTTATAGTTGGTTGATGATTATGCTAGTTTTCAACAAAGTTTTGATCCCGGATATTTATTTTCTATATTATAAAACATTTTGTTGGTTTTCTAAAACTGTTTAAGTCTCTAAACTATTGTGTTATGTGTGCTTGTCTTCTTTGTTTAGGCTTTTTGGTGGAGTTATGTTCTGTTTTTTTATCCTTGGTTTGTTTTGAGTTTTGTTCTGGTGTGGTGTGTCACTTTAGTTAGTTTTTTACTTCATTTAGAAAACAATTTTCAAACCCCCCCATCTTTTAATTTAGTTTATACATTTTAGATAGTTGTTTTCACTCAATAAAAAGTGACAAAGTAAACCGATTTTCATAGCCTAAAAAAATATCTTTCCTCGTGGGATCGACTCTTACTTATCCTATCTATAGATTTAATAAATATTATTTTTACAAGAAAGAACTAAGTAAAGGAAAAGAATAAATTAATTTGTAGGTGCTACGACACGCCTAACAAATTTTGGCGCCGTTGCCGGGGAAAGATTATTTTTTTTATATATGAGAATTGGTTTTCTTATTGTTTAAAAACAGAAAAAACACTAAAAAAAAGTCTTTTTTTATTATGCTGGTTATTATAGCTTAATAAGTCAGTTTTTTTTTTAAAAAAAGTCTAAGTCAGTCCCTAGGTGCATTTGTGTCTTGTTTGTAATCAGTTTGTTATGAGTCCCTACGTTTTTTTCCCTTGGCCAACTTTTTACTAAAAAAAATAAATAAATAGAGTTACTGACAGTTTTTAAAATCAACCCTTTTCTCCACTAAATGCAGATTTTGAACAAATATGGTCCTGGGAGCCTAAAATATTTTTAGGAAAAGATGTTAAGAGGAGTTTCCAGTCCAAGTTTGATCAAAATATTTTTATATTTCTAACTAGTAACAATTAGAGAAGTAGGAACTAACTGTACTGACTTCTTTTCCTTGAAATGTGCAATTATTTTAATGAGAACTTGCCCAAAAGCACTTTAAAAAGACTGTTTTCAAAGATGCATTATTGCAGATTTTTATTCAGACTAGGGAGTTTCATTAAAATAATATTTTTTTTAAGTAAAGTACGTTGAGCAACTAATGCACTTTTTTTATCTTTAAAAAAACAAGAGAGCAGAAATTTGAATTCACCTATTACTTAAGGTGCTGATTTTCTTTTAAAAAAAAGACAATATTGCTTGCTTGTTTGTTATTTGCTCAGTAATTATTGACAGTTGAATCAAGTATAAGAACTCTAATACTTGTGTATTCTCTTTGAGTTGCAGCTATCTGATTTTTGCATGCGCTTGAGGAGTGGAAGAGTAATTGGTGATATAGAGGTAAACGGTAGCAACTCTGAGGTAAGTGTGTCTGAACCCAATTCTTTTAATAGCAAGTTTGTTGCTGAATCTGAGGATAGACCTGCCAATCTGCTTGCTGTTGATTTGTTTGATTCTTGTTCTGATAGCATCTTTGATAATCTTTTTGAAATAAATTCTGAACCAAATATGACAACTTTAAGAGAATTGGCAGCCCCTAACCTAAATATTCAACTGCTTTCTATCACATATGCTGAGCTAGAAAAGCCTTTAAAATTGAATTCTGGCTTCATAAATTTACTTCCAAAATTCCATGGTCTTCCTGGAGAGGATCCCTTTAGGCACATCTCTGAATTTTTGATTACTTGCGGTGCTATGGTGCCTGAAGGGGTTGCTCAAGACCAAATAAGGTTGAGGGCTTTCCCGTTTCCTTTAGCTGATAAGGCAAAGGACTGGTGGTACTACATGTCAGCCGGTTCTTTCACTACTTGGAATGCTCTACACAAAGCATTTTTAGAAAAATATTTTCCAGCTTCTAGAATAGGTTCAATTAGGAAAGAAATATGTGGGATTAAACAAATGATTGGGGAGAATTTTTCTGAATATTGGGAAAGTTTTAACAAACTTTGTGCCTCCTGTCCTCAACACCAGATTTCTGAACAACTTTTAATCCAATATTTTTATGAAGGGCTACTTCCTACTGAGAGGGGCAACGTGGATGCTGCCAGTGGGGGTGCCTTGGTTAATAAAACACCTGAACAAGCTAGAGAATTATTTAATTTGATTGCTCAGAACACCCAACAGTTTGGTACTAGGGAAACACTAGTGAAGAAAGTGAATGAAATTGGCAATTCTTTTATTGAAAACAAACTTACTGAACTTACCAAAGCCATTTCACAACTTACAACTGTCGGAGGGGTTAAGGGAAAACCTTGTGGGGTTTAGTGCTTGGAAGGACACCCTACTGATGCTTGTCCGACCTTGCAACACCCAAGGTAAATGCTGTTTTTTATATTAATAATCAAAGAAAATACGATCCTTTTTCTAATTCTTACAATGAGGGATGGAGAGACCACCCTAACCTTAGGTATGGTAATGGGCAGAACTACCAGGCTCCTAGGGGTAATTTTCAGAATTTTAACAATCCATCACAACAGCCCTCTTTTGATAAAAACACTCAACTTTTGGAACAGATTCTTAAGAAAATGGATGACAAATTCTCTGGTTTTGATCAAACTCTTAAGAAAATGCAAGAAAAGCAATCTGCCACTGAAGTTACAGTGAGTAATTTGCAAGCCCAACTTAACAATAGGTTTCCTTCTCAACCATTTTTGAATCCTAAAGAGAATTTGAGTGCAATTGAGCTTCGAAATAAGAAAAAACTGCAAGAACCCAGTTTTGTCAGTAGGGAAGAAAGGGAGAAAGAACTTCATCCAAATCAAGTTTCTTTTGAAAATAATAATGCTGATTTTGTTGAAAATGAAATCACTCAGGTTGAAAAACAGAAAGAAATTGATTTTCAAAATAGAATCAATGAGTTTAAAAATCAAAAAGCCCCTTTTCCGAGTAAGTTTCTAAGTCAACAACCTAAGACGAAGGAGTTAGATCAAGAGATGTTAGAAACTTTTAAAAAAGTGGAAATAAACCTCCCTCTTTTAGAAGCAATCAGACAAGTCCCAAATATGCTAAATTTCTTAAAGAACTTTGCACTCATAAAAATAAGCTTTCTGGGACTGAAAAGGTGTTGATGAGTGAGAATATAAGTGCTGTTTTTCAGAATAAACTACCCCAAAAATGCAAGGATCCTGGAGTTTTTACTGTTCCATGTCAGATAGGGAGTTTAAAATTTGACAAGGCAATGCTAGACTTAGGTTCTTCAATAAATGTGATGCGCAAGGACATTTTTGAACAACTCCACATTGGAGACCTAAAAAGAACAGGGGTAGTGATCCAACTAGCAGATAGGAGTCACACCTACCCCGAGGGGATCTTAGAGGATGTTTTGGTTAGAGTAAATGACTTCATTTTTCCTGCTGATTTTTACATTCTAGATATGGGAGTTGATAAAACCGATATTCCCATTTTGTTGGGAAGATTGTTTTTGAAAACAGCCCGTGCTAAAATTGATGTTCACGGGGGTACTTTAACAATGGAGTTTGATGGTGAGATAATTAAATTTAGTCTTTCTGAAGCAATGAAACACCCTCATGAAGAGAATCAAGTCTTTGCTATGGATGTAATTGATAAAATCACTGAAGAAGTTTTCAGTAAATCAAATGACGATGCTCTGTACACTGTTTTAACTGATAATTTAGACCCTTTTGAGATCGAAAAATTAAATTTTTCACTTCCTGATGATGTTTGCTTTTATGCTGAAAATTTGTCTTCTGTGGAAGAGGTTAAAACTGTTTTAAAACTGAATTTGGAAATCCCTAAGACAAAACCACTTCCTTCTTTGATTTCTCCACCTGAAATTGAACTTAAAGAGTTGCCTCTTCATCTTAAATATGCTTTTTTGAGTGAAAATGGAACACTTCCTGTGATCATATCAAATCTTTTAACTGAACCACAAGAATTAATGTTATTGAGAGTTTTAAAGGAACACAGTGAGGCCATAGGCTGGACTTTAGCAGACATTAAGGGTCTTGACCCAACTTTGTGTAGTCATAGGATAAGTCTAGAACCTGATGCGAAACCAAGAGTTGAAAATCAAAGAAGACT